GTAGTGGTAGTGGTAGTGGTAGTAGTAGTAGTCCTCCAGACAGTCTCCCACCCATCCCACATCCGTTGTTTTGGTGGGGCCTGCAGAGGGCCACTGGAGTCTTTGGGTGGAAGAGTGCATTTGCCTAGTCTGCCCAGCATCCAACAGATGCTGCTTGCCTACTGCCTCGGAGCAGTAGGCAACGACCAATTCCAGATCCACCCCTCCAAACCTGCTGCTGTCGAAAACCAGCTCCAAGTTGTGAATCTCTGCGAAAGCTTTCTTCAACTGAAGAGCGTACAGCCGAGCTTCTGCAAGCATGCTTTGATGGGCTGATGCTCCACCTCCATGCTCGTCAGAGATTCTGGGACGCTTTTGCTTCCCTATTTGTGCTTTCAAAAAAAACTCAATCTCTTCCGCCGCTTTTGGCCACGAGGAGCTTTCTCAACCAAAAGGGACAAGGAAGGAGCTGGTTGGGCTAAGGCCCACCCATCAACACGGCCACACAAATGCACAGCCATCTCCTGCGTGCAAAATTGCAGAAACAGCTCATTAAACCCCACGACTGCGAACTAGAAAGTCGGCTACTGGTCTCAAAACTTTGTTCCGTTAATATAAAAAAGCATCCCTATGGCCTGCACAAGCATCTTGGCCGCATCGATTTCCACAGACTGAAGATTCCTAGCTCGCTTCATAGCATAGCTGCTGCTGCTGCACCAAAGCAATGCAGCGAAGCTGACAGTAGGAGGCCCGACTAAAGTGGCTAAGTCCTGCTCCTTCCATATAGCGACAAAGGTGTCACTGACAAGAGGAGGTGGCTCACCGTCCCAATGCACTGAGCCCTGTGAGATGACTCCTTGTGAACCTTGGAAGCAAATTTTTTGCTCAACACGAGGCACTGGAAAATTCACAAAAGTTTGCAATAGATGCAAAGCACGCTCCCTTTGTCCAGAGGCAGTGCGCCCCCCGGCTTTCACGTTTGTGTTGCGAAGGAGATAAGCAAGCAGCCATGGAGTTGTGACCATGCTCTTCTGGCTCAGTTTTCTATTCCAACCATGACCAGCCCACCACCGGCAAGGGAGGATGGGAAAGAGCTCGCTGGCTGTGCGCTCCACACTCTTGCAGCCATTCGTGTTGTGAGAGCCACGTGGATCAGCCCACAAACAGAACTTTGTGCGGAGCACAAAATCATGAAACGGCTCCACCTCCCACACACACAGCCAGGAACGCCCTCAATGCCAGAAAGTGTGGTCAGGCAGTGGTGGAACTGGTCTGTACGCACCTCGACCGCACTGGCCCGCGAGCGGACCCAAAGGCCGCCGGAGCGGACCCAAAGGCACAATGCCGCCGGAGCGGACCCAAA